CATAACGCGCAAAACTCATTTTTGGACACGATGAGTATATAAATAAATTATTTATCTGAAAACTGCCATATTCTCCCAGAATGTAATTCGTATTTTGTACTGTTCGTACAACGCTGTGAGATAAACTAAGTCTAAAATACTCTTCGCAATCTTACACAGGATGGTTTTCAATTTTATTTTAGACAGTTTTTAAGTATTGAAAATGGCCATTTTAAGGTCTTTCAGACTTGAAATCGCTTATAACTTGAAAACGGTTAACCGTAGAGGAAAGTTCTTAAGCTCCTTTTTTTAGACAGAACGATCGAAAAACCTGAAAAAATCACCGGTGAGGAAACACTTCTCTTTCGTAATTCGTCTGAACAATTTGTATCGGGTCACCGTACTTTTGCCTCTAGCTCCGCCGCTACTGGACCGATTTTCAAAAACTGCAAAGCTTTTTTGTCCCTGGTATAGTAGTAATCTTGTGTGAAAATTTCATCTAAATTCGATCAGTGCTTTCCAAGTTACAGGCGATCTAAGGATAACCGGTTTTTCGTGATGTAAATGTTATACGAGCCCCTTCCCACTTCAGTTGGCCCAACTATTGAAATCTTAGTTTTTTTCTTATCAAACACAAATAATAAAAATGTAGCAGGGTGTTATAGGTTTAAAATATTAACAATGAATATTTTGATAATATATAGTAGAAAACACCAACTTTATCACTCCCTAATCAAATTTGCAGCATAAAAATAACACATGTTGCAATTACAGCATATCAACCTATTTTCATTTCAATGCAAAATAAGTCTATAACGCATAGGTGGCTGTGAAAAATAAAAGCCATGACAATTGTTTTTATTAATCACAGCTGTCAGAATACGTTTAAAATAGTTTTGGGTAGTTGAGGTTTTCAAAATGGCTAGAGAAAAGGTTATTAGTGAGAAAATTCGGTTACTGATAATTAAATTTTTTAATTCTGGGAAATCAAACCCAGAAATTGCAACTTTGTTAGAAGATATAACGTAACTGGTTCACTTAATATTAAGCCATGATATGTGAAAAAAAGTAATATCACAAATGCCGACCGAACAGCATTAAGAAGAATAATCGAGAAAAACAGGCGTGCCAATTATTTACAATTAAGTACTCTGTGGAGTGACGCTGTTGGAAGGAGAATTTCGAGGTCCACATAGCATTTGCAAGGTAAGTTTTCTTATAAAAAAAGTGAAGTAAAAACCCTAAAGTTGCACAACTTGTTTATAGGCCAAAGAAAAGCCATTATTAACTCCACTGCAAAAGAAAAATCGGCTTAGATGGGCTAAAGAATATAGACAATGGACACTTCAACAATGGTGTGCAATACCAGGGAGTGATGAGGCCCGATTCGAAGTTTGTGTTGGTGACAGTTGCAGTAGAGTTATTCGCAAAAAAATGAAGCATTCTATGTTGACTGAAGAGAAAAGTGAAATTTTCAGCATCCATTATGGTCTGGGGCAGTATGTCATCAAACGGAGTAGGAAAATTTCATTTTATTGATGGAAATGTGGATACAAACAAATATTTGGCAATTTTAGAAGAATCGCTTTTACCAGTGATGGAAGAATGTTTGACATCCGGCCAAAAAGGCTATAAAATGAATGGAAGAAAATAATGTACCACTTTTGAAATGGGTTTCTAGCAGTCCAGATCTGTCACCTATTGAAACTTTGTGGCACGAGATGAAAAAGGTTCTACGACAACATCCTGCTCGTACAATCACCGAACTGAGACAAAAGCCTCAAGAAATATGGGATTGTTTTACATCAAATTTTTGCCAAAACTTGGTTAACACTATGCCCCAAAGATTTTTTTTGCGCATTTATTGGCACTTTGCTTATTTGTTTAGATGTTATAGGTTAAGTGGCTCGTATAACGTCCAAAAATACCCAGTAGGCGTGGGAACTAAAAATTGATAACCTTGTTTTTCAATAATCTCACTATACATCATGAAGCAATCAGATGAAAATTATTAAGAATACTCCTCCAAAAAGGTTGTTGAAAAAAGAGATGTGCGATGTAAAGAGACATCCAACAAACGTAATCGTGGAAAAAAAACGAGACGCGAAAATTACTCCGACTATTATTGCTAGACTTTCGCCTTGCATAATTTTAGGATGCAGGATTTAATTTAATTATAATTTTCCACATCAATTAAGTACAATTTCGCAAATCCCAACAAAGGTAAAGGCCGAACAGAAACTGTGTAGGTTTCACCATCCGGTTCTGACGTCATCGCGCTCGCAAAGTAAAAAGACGAGCTAATAAAGTTTTCCAATTTTAATTAGCTCATTATGTCTGCTGGCAACGGAGTAAATGGGCACATTTTTTATCGAAGTAATTTAATATTTTCGTGCGACGAAGCTTAGCTACACAATCGGGCAAAAAGACCGCTAAGACGTTCGAAGAGAGGAATAGATGTATAATCAAAGTATATTTTTCTTGGAAATGAGCCAGTTAAACCGTTTAGCTGAAGCTGCTCTATCTCAGATAATTCGTTTGACCTGATTTCAGTACAGCCCCACGTTTTGCAAAATCAGCTGGAAAGAAATTGAGTTGATTAACTCCAAATCTCATGCTTGAATACAGAGTGATTCTCTATAACGATGGAATATGTTTTTTCTATAACCGCTCATGGCACATCTTTAACAGACTCTTCTACCGATATATCAAGGATTTTGCTCCATTGAGCGTTCGTCCATGATGTTGGCACTCTCTAGTCTGCCGAATGAACCCGGGTTTTTTTGGATGTTATACAGGGTGTTTCAGTTTATTGTTGCATACCTTTAAGATTCGATAGAACTTTTAAAATTAATGCATAAAGTCTATATAAACATGGGTCGAAAAATGCGTGGCTGCCGAAATACAGGGTGTTTAAATTTACTTTCTAAAATAGTTTTTTTTTAAATATTTCGTTTACTGTAGCCGCTAGAGGGCGCTCTCTACTGTACCTGTAGTGTATTAAAATGACCGAAATTTTTTTCTTAGTGCAATTTTTTGCTTTTTGAATAAAAAAACTGATCCTTCGTACTTTTCAACATAAAAAAGCTCTCTTGTGAATTTTCGTTATAGTTAGCCGTTTTTGAGATATTTCGATTTTTAAGGTTCGATGCATTTTTAATTATTTATGATAAAATAACGTTAAAAAGTCAGTATCTCGATAATTGTTAGAAGTGTGCCTGCAAATATTTTTGAAATTGAAAGCAGAATAAGGTTAAACGTCAATTAGTTGACAGTTAGTTTTTTAGATTCTTTTACCTGTTTTTTTTGTAAGTTTTATAAAAATGCCATTTTTATTCTCCAATCAAGAGTTAGCGGATATTCATTTTGTGTATGGCTTTGTAAATGGAAACGCAGCAGAAGCAGCCGGAGAATACGCACGAAGATTTCCAAACAGTCGACATCCAACTCGCTCAGTATTTGTAAGAGTGCATCGCCAAATAATTGAAAATGGTTTTGGAAGTCTCCAAAGGGATCAAAACATAAATGTTCGTCAGCGCAGATTTACCCGTATGATTCTGCGTGAGTTTGATAGAGGAAAGTTTCTGGTACCTTGGGAATTTCAGCAAGCCATGTTCACCGTGTTCTTAGAAATGACCATAGACGTCCTTACCATTTGCAACTTATGCAAGAACTACAGCCAGGGGACGGAGAACGAAGAATCACATTTTGTCAGTGGATTCTTGATAGAACTGATAATAATAGGTAGTTTTTAAGTAACGTTTTATGGACCGATGAGTCATGCTTCACTAGACGTGGAGTGGTAAATTTTCATAACCAACATATTTGGTCGCATGAAAATCCGCATGCAGTTCGGGAAAGAAATTTTCAGCATGAATTTATTGTGAACGTGTGGATTGGTATCTACCGCAATCGACTATTTGGACCCTACCTTTTGCCTGCAAGGTTAAATGCTGCGACCTTCTTCGAATTTTTAAAGACTGAACATGCAAATATGTGGGATGATGTTAGATCTAAGAAGATTGGCCTGGTTCCAGCTTGATGATTGTCCAGCTCATTATTCGAGAATAGTTAGAAACTGGCTGGACGAAAATTATCCAGAAAGATGGATCGGCCGTGGAGGACCAGTCGTCTGGCCTCCACGATCCTCTGACCTAAATTCTTTGTGTGGGGATTTCTAAAAGAAAAGGTGTACCAGACTCCCGTAACCATAAGAGATATGCTAATAGACAGAATCAGGAATGCATGTGATGAAATAAGGCCTTATTTGAATAATGCTATGCCACGTTCGATCATTCGTAGATGTGAATTGTGTATTGAACAATTGGGTTTACATTTCGAGCAACTACTTTAGATTTTGTATGTTTGTCCTAACTATCCAATAGCATTTTAGTTGTAAATAATTAATTAAATTTGTTAAAAATAATATTGGAAAATTAAACAAATTAATATTCTGTTTTTTTTTGTGTTTATTTAGAGTTAGGAATTATTGCTGTGTTTAAAAACACAATCTAAACGATCATCTTGATTACTTGTAATGCCCAAATGGAATATGTAAAAAAAATATTATTTTCCCATAAATAATTAAAAATGCATCGAACCTTAAAAATCGAAATATCTCAAAAACGGCTAACTATAACGAAAACTCACAGGAGAGGTTTTTTATGTTGAAAAGTGCGAAGAATCAGTTTTTTTATTCAAAAAGCAAAAAATTGCACTAAGAAATTTTTTTCGGCCATTTTAATACACTACAGCCCATATTTCGTTTTGTCGTACCAAAAAACCCTTGTATACCAATTTTCACTGTTATACATCAAATATTGTTCGAATTATTTAAAAAAAAACTATTTTAGAAAGTAAATTTAAACACCCTGTATTTCGGAAGCCACGCATTTTTCGACCCATGTTTATATAGACTTTATGCATTAATTTTAAAAGTTCTATCGAATCTTAAAGTTATGCAACAATAAACTGAAACACCCTGTATAATATTATTATTGTTACGGCGTTAGTGAACTTACCTAATTTACATTCTTCGCTAATCCTTTGGTTACTGAAGCAGCTCTCTTTGTTATGATATGCCGCCTTACACCACGAACAACTTATTGCTACAATTTCTTTCGACGAAAACGACAGCTTCGACTGAAACGACTGCAACAAACAGAAATTAAAAATTAAAAATCATCGGTTTATTATTCGCTGTAAGTCAACACTATTATACAGGGTGTAAGGTGAATAGTGGATCAACGGAAGTTGGTTGATAGAGGGCATCAGAACCTATCTAATAAACCCCTATATGTGTAGTCCGAAATTTTATGGTTCAGGAAATATTTGCAACTTTGTGAAATTTCGAAAAAAAAAAAAACTGGATAATGGACCTGCAATCGCAGTTGCAACTAAATCATTAGGTTTCTTCTGAGCTGAGCTAAATGGTTAGCTTTAACAATGGTTATGTCACTTTTTAGAAATCAAAATTCATTTTTTTGTGAAAAATCGCTTCCATCACTCAACTTTGGAGGGCGATAAAAAAAATTGAGGTTGTATTTCATTATTCATTTTATTGCAAAAACGATTTCCATCTATGCAGAATAAACCCTGAAAATTTGAACTTACTACGATAAGTTCCTCATATTAAAAAATCTGTATGTTTGACGCAGGTGGGTATCTATACATGTAAACAAGAAATTTTATTTTACGAGATTTTTTTCTATGGGGGCTTTATAACGGGATATTCTATACATCTAAATATACAAATGTCAACCAACTGCGCCAGAAAATTGATGAAGCTAAAATAAAAATTATGCAAGACAACTAAAGGACAATTTTATTAGAAGGTGTTGGCGTTGACGGTTTGTCCAGGAGGAACAAATTCATGGTGGACAATGCCTTTGATGTCAAAAAAACAATGAGCATCGTTTTCACTTTGGATTTGCTCATTCTTCCCTTTTTTGGGCGAGGAGACGTCGTCGTGTGCCACTCAGAAGATTGCCTCTTTCTCTCGGGATCATACTCAAAGATCCACGACTCGTCACCTGTGATTACGTTATTCAAAAATTGGGAGTCACTTTCACACATGTTCAAATTTTCTTGGCACACTTCCACTCGCCGCAATTTCTGGTCGTCAGTGAGCACTTTTGGGACCATCTTAGCGCACACCTTGCGCATGTTCAAGTGCTGTGTCACAATGTCGTGAACCACAGATTTTGGTAAATTTAACATCTGGGCAATTAAAAGAATACTTAGTCGACGGTCTGAGTTCAAAACTTTGCGCACACGAGTCGCATTATCGGTGTTTGTCGAAGTCGAAGGTCTTCATCAGCGACCTCTTCCTGGCCCTCCAAAAAGGCCTGGTGCCACCGAAACACACCACTTCTTGCTAAAGCAACACCTGGGTAAGTCTGCTTGATCATATCAAACGTCTCTATCGCAGATTTACCGAGTTTCACACAGAATTTAATCGCGTACCTCTGCTCCGAAGTACAGTCATGGCGGAAGAAAATGAGTCCTATTACTTTCCGGACAAACCCTGTACAATAGGTTCTGTACTTGTAGGTGGTAAGGATTCTACTGCATCACAACAACGAATGTGACATGATACACTCATCCTAGCAAACTGAAATTAACATGGTTTATTCTACATGGATTGAAATAGTTTTAACAGTAAAATGAATAACGAAATACAACCTCAATTTCGTTACCGCCCTCCAAAGTTGAGCGATGGACGGAGGCGGATGAAAAAAAAAATTAATTTAAGATGTTAAAAAGTGACATAACCGTTGCTAAAACTAACCATTTAGCTCATTCCAGAAAAAAAAAACACAGTCCTAAATCTAATGGTTCAGTTGTAATTGCGATTGAAAGTTCATTATTCCGTTTCTTTCGAAATTTCACAAAATTACTACTAACCTTACACCCTGAATATTACGAAAAAGTATAAAATATCAATTTTTTGAATTACGGAAACGAAGGGATAGTTCTATATGATATTCTTTAAGAACTTGTTTGAGCAATCAATATAAGAAGATCGTGAGGCGAATTTAATAAATAAACCTAATCCCGCCTGTAGAATTCAAGAGATTCTAATATGAAGATAACCATCCTTATTAATATATACAGGCTCCGTCAGAAAGAACGCATGTTTTTCGAATGGGTACTACATCGAGCGGGTTGGTCCGTGTCGGCGGGGAAGGTCGTGCCGTTTCAGTTGGCAAGATGGTTTGGAACGTTGAGCATCGTGTGTTCACTGTAAGTCTCGTGAGTCTCGAGTCCACTTTCGTGTTCCACGTCGTGGGACAGTACCAGACCGTAACATCGCTTTGAGATAAGTGGAAGCATTCATCGCAACAGGCAATGTGATGAAGAAAAAAACGCCATGGCGAAACCGTACTGTTAAAACCCGCGAAAACGTAGACAGAGTGAGAGTTGACACGCTGCAAAGCCCGAATCGTTCCGTCCGTTTGCTTGCCAGTTCCCTAAGGATCCACGCGTCCTCTGTACGTTGCATTATGCACAACGTGTTTTGAACAGCTCATGATTGAACAGTCGGATAACAATGACATGACGTTGTTTATGAGTGATGAAGTACATTTTCATTTACATGGATACGTCAATAAACAAAATTGTCGATATTGGTCTCCAGTGAAACCCCAACAGTTGCATGAGTACCCCCTGCATAACCCGAAAGTTACAGTTTGGTGTATAGTAGGCTCAACGATGATTATTGACCCTTATTTTTGTTGAGGATGATGGAGGAACAACTAATGTTACATCCACATGCTGAACAACCTTTTTTCCGGAACTTCGACGTCGACGTGTCCGTCTCAGAACAGTATGGTTCCAACAAGTCGGGGCAACGTCTCACACAGCTCGCACATCGATGAAAATTCTTCGGAAAAAATTCCAAGGACGTCTCGTTTCACGTCATGGCGATATTCCATGCCCCCCTCGTTCCCAGGACCTGTCAACGTGTGATTTTTTTATGGGGCTACCTGAAATAAAAAGTTTACCAAAGCAAACCTCGGATGATCGTCGATTTGAAGGAGAAAATAAGAAGAGAAGTAACCCAAATTCCTGCACGGATGCTGGCCGACGCGATGGGCTCATTTCGGGAGAGGCTTGATTCTTGCATTTCGGCTCAAGGGCGCCATATGGCCGACATAGTTTTTAGAACGTAAATTTTGTTTTACTCTAAAAAAATGGCATGTATTTCTTAGTATTTTGAGATAATAATATATTTTCCCATACTTATTTTGACTGTACTACTCATTTAAAAACATGCGTTCTTTCTGACGGCCCCTGCACTTGTCTGGCTACCGCCGTGGCCGAAACGTTAGTGAATCTTAATTTTACTACTAATTTATCAGCGAGACAACCATAACCGTGTTGTATTGATATTTTCTGAATTGTTCATTTATTGCCTAGTTTTTGTACCAAATGAACTGGACTAATATGAAACGGCAAACACGGTATCGCTTTAATTCAGTTTATTATTGAATAATGTATGAAAGTGTAGTATCAAACGATATCGAAAGTCAACACTGATGTAAAATGAAAAAAAATTCAATAAAACGTTATTTAATAAATTATGAATCGCTACAGCGAGCGTCTCCTTATGTTCGGCGCACTGAATCGGTTAAGTAAGCGGTCCCGTAGTGTAGTGGTTATCACGTCTGCTTCACACGCAGAAGGTCCCCGGTTCGATCCCGGGCGGAACCAGTTATTTTTTTCTTTATTTTTTTTGGTTTGTAATTGCGGATAACATTAAAGGTATAAATATGGTATTTTTTGCTATAAGATGCTAGAAATCATACAGGTTGGTGCAGCAATAGAATCTTGCTTGTTGAAAAATACGGGACGTCGTTGTTGAAGATTTATTTAGCATTAATTTTTCATCATCCATTTTCTGTAAGTTGTCTTTAAAAATTAAAATTACGTCACGATGTATTTTGATTATTCATGATTTTTTAATTTCACCTCAAACATTTTTAAATTCGAACTCTGTTTAATATTTAATTTGTTAAATTCAAATACTCCCTACTAGTTATGCTACTATTACAATTTTGCAGATGAAAATCTATCTTGCCTCTAGTTTCGTAGTTATGATAATGACTATTTAATTTTATGAAGTTTTCTAAATGTGGTGGTAATAAATGATTTTTTAATTTGAATATGAAAACGAGAACTGAAATTTTTCACATCTAACCACTGCAGTTCCTCTAACATAGACTTAATCCTAGCATATTTGTTTTAAAATGATTCTCATAGCTTTGTTTTGTAGAATTTGTAATTTTGAAAATATGTTTGCATTTGCTGTAAACAAGATGGTTGAATAATATAAAAAATGGGGAAGAATTATAGTCTTATACACAATTTTTTTGGATTACATACTAAGACTATGGGAAACTCTATAGAAGTAATTTATCTTTTTCGATATTTTTGAAATAATGTATTCATAATGTTCGTGAAACAGTAGCTTACTATCCACATATATACCAAGATATTTAAATGACTCGACTACTTCAATTTTTTCATCATTAATCATGAGCCTAATTGTATTGTTACCTAAATGTTTCCCTATTGATATACATTTTGTTTTATTAGTGTTTAATTTAAGTTTATTGACATTTAACCAATTCATAATTTTTTCAAAACCACTATTTAATAGTTCTAAAGCAGTGTCCAAAGGCTTATGTACTATATATATGTAAGTGTATCGTCCGCAAATATTTGAATTTTGCAGTGTTCTAAAATGTCAGAGATATCATTTATATAAATAATACCCCTACTGATATATTTTGAACAGTTGACATAATATTTCCAACTTTAGTTTTTTTTTTACTTCTATTTACTAAATAATTTTGTAAAATGTGTAATACTGATCCTTTAAAGCCATAGTGACGCAATTTTATTAAGAATTTTTCCCTATCTATAGTCTAAATATATTGTTACAATATATTCTTTCTCATCTATACCTCTTCTCCAGTCTTCCACCACCATTTGGATTGCTGTTTCTGTGGACCATTTTTTCTAAATCCAGCTTGATGTTTTCTTCATTGAATTCTATGATTTTTTGGCACAGGGGTAATAGTGGAACACTTTAATTTTGATGGGAACTCACCATGTACTAAACAATGATTCACCAACAATTATAATTTCTCTCCAGCTATGTTGAAACAATTATTTAGAATATTTTTTGAGAGATTCTCACTTGGATTTTTATTAGATTTCAATTTTGAGATAGATTTTCTTAGATTGTTGATGTTAATTGCCCTAAATTGCTTCATTGATGAATTCTGACATACTTGTAATGGACATAAGTTTGGATCACCGTCATCAATCGTCTTCACTATTTGATTTACACTTTCTATAAAATAAGTGTTCAATCTTTCTGCTTTAATTAATTTGTCTGTCACTACCCCATCTTCGAAACGCATTTTAGATAATTCAGTCTTTCTGTTAAGAGCAACAATATTCTTTAATGTTTTCCACATCATTTTAGAATTATTTTTATTGCTTATCTTCTAATCATAGTATTTTTTCTTTTCCCTCCTGAGAACTGCTACTCGCTCATTTCTTGATTTTGGGTTACTGAACATTTTCTGTAGTCGTTATCGTTTTAATTTAGACTCCTTGAATATCTGTGAAAACCAGGGTGTTGGGTTCACTCTTTCATATATTATTTTCTTGACCATAGCTTCACTAATATATTTATCCACATTATTCATAATTTGTTAGAAGTACATTGAACATATTTCCCACTTCGAAATATATCCACGACTGATCACTTATCTTTGGGGTATGCTTAACTTCAGCAACTAGATTTAATTTTTGTAAATATTCTATAATATAAAAGATACCACTGCATTTCATGCATTGCAAAATCGCTAAAATCTCGTGTGGTAGTTTGTAGGTACGATGTGTTTTTGTTTAATTTTTATACGTCAGTTGATTAAAATAGCCAAAACGGTTTTTATTTTTTACGCGAAAACGGTGCATCGGACGGAAAAAAGTCAAGAGGTGAAATTTGTTGCAAAATAAATGAGGATTTCAAAAATGATTATTACTTTTCAAAATAACAATGGAGTACTATAATTTTTAAAAAAATCTCCAACGGACGCCACTAGTAGAAACATTGAAAAATATTTTACATCAAAAAATGACTACTGGTGCTTAGTAGGTGCATGTCAAATTTCATGAAAATATTTAGTACAGTTTTGAAGTTATTATAAGAAAACGAATTTTTTCTTAAAACTTCAACACCCTGTAGCTCAAAAGTTAAGCGATTTAGGACATGTGTCCATAAAAACTTTTATTTCTAAAACGACCTAAGGAATCATATCCTGTATTTTTAGCCATAAATTAAACTACACCCTGTATAAATAAATAATTTGAACGTGTGAATAACAGCACCAGTTTCAAATTGCTTTGGATATCAAGAGCGTATCCACTTACTTTATCACATTGCTTGCACCTGCCCTTCTCCGACCTCCTATGCACCCAATGGTGCTCGACGATCGCCTGCTCGCGGTACTGCCTCAGTCCTACGTCCCTAAAGGTCGGTTTACACGTGAACTTGAGCCTCTCGGCCAGCACGTCGATGCACTCGTGATGGGAGATGATGTTGCACGCTGAACAGCGCATGCGCGGCCCTCGACGCTGCAACAAATAGGAATGTTAGACAGATACGAGGTCTGTAAATTGAGTAATGTAGATTGGCAACGTAGCGTTCGATTTGGCGACACTGGAGGCGTCGGGCTTGGAGGGGAGACACGGGAACTATAATATATATATATATATATATATATATATATATATATATATATATATATATATATATATAACTTGAGACGTGGTCATTGTCGTCTAGACCAGTTAGGTGAAAAATTAAAGCTTCCGCCTTTTGTTGGGTACTTCGACAAAATTTAAGCAAAGAGGACTCTTTATACCTTTTTTAATTCTCTCTAGCTTTCAATGGACTTTGCCATCATCATCAGGAGCTGCAATTACAATGATAACAGTAGCAACAAAAGTGTAAAATGAATTTAGATTGACTCAACTTACAGTAGTATGTGAGGATGTTGCTAATTGTTGTTTACGTATAGGATGAGGGAAACGTCCAGTAACATGGTGAGAGCTGGATAGATTGTACAATGGTCAAAATTATATAAAATATGACAAGAACAAGTTAAAAACAGATTAAAAATTATTTAAAAAACATTACAGCATTACATCGTGAAGCCACTTGATGATTGCACAAATTAGTGGTCATGGAATAATGAGTGAGATGAAACCCTTTGACAGAAGGCCGAAGGATGTCAATGTCTGTGTTGAAAGATGGAACGAATTGTGGGCGTGTGCCAAAACGTTGCCAAATCACTTCAGATGATGAGATTTTCAGAATTTTATGTAAGAATTTGTTAAACCGACCAGAGGCAGTTGAATAAACTATATTTTAATTAATGGGAATTTAAATTAACAATTATTAATAAATCGTGAGAAGAGAATTATTATATTTTGAGTGGAATGAAATTTACTGGTGGAATCGGCCAAAACACAGATTCTAATTATGGTTGTGAAGAGTTGAAATTTGGGGAGATATGTAAGTTCTCCAATTTTTCGCAGTTTAGCAAATATGAGTAAATGACACTCAGTTGTTTAACATCTGTCTTTTTGTTGATACAGTTGTTATTCATGAAGATGTGGGACATTTCCAGGAATAAACGTTTGGAAAGGTGTTTTTCTTTAGCAAGAACTTGTGTAATTCATAGAATGCCCTGTTGTGTTAACATGAGATGCTAGAGCGCATCTTTCAGGATGAAGCCTAGCATCACTTTTGTGTGATGTAATCCTTCCTTTAAGAGATCTGGAGGTCTGACCTATGTATATTTGGTTGCAGTTGTTGCAATTGATGGAGTAGACTGTGTTGGTTAAGCCAAGCAGCGGGACTTTGTCTTTCATTTTTGAAAAAATGCAGTTTATAGTGAGGACGGATTTGCAAGCAATTCGAAAGTTCAAAGGACTGCACAATCTGATCAGCTTAGGGGTCAGTTCCTTGATATAGGGCAGGACAGCAAAACCAGGTCTGGAGTCCGGGTTGGTGCTTGTACTGTTAGGATTGATGTTATTATTGGGAATTACATCAGTTCCGTTATTAGGGGTTGTGCGACTATTACCTGAATCACCAGAGTTCGGCAAAATATTGGAAGGTGAACTAAATAAGATCTTGTTAATCAGACACTTCGGATAACCATTATTGATGAACAGTTTTGATAGTTTACGTAAATTTGAGGTGTGGAAGGTATCATCTGAGATGCTGATTACCCTTGTTTTCATCTGTTTTACCAAATTGATTTCAATCCCTAGCTTATGGTATGACCTAAAATTGAGAAACCGACCTGAGGCCATAGGTTTCTGGTCCCAAAGTCCCAATGGCCGATCAATGAACGCGTATCCACTCAATCAACAATTTAGTAAATTGAATGAAAATGGTAACTGAAGTTTGTAAATACACAAACTTACCTTTTAACAGTCAGACAAAGTAATTTTTTGCAAGTTTGTGGATTTCGTGTTGTGACTTGTCGAAACTTGTATAAACTGCGATTGACGACGCCGGGTTTTGAAGCAGCGGTTGACAGAACAAGTGAATATGATATTTAATTTCCAATTTTATGCGTGTAAATTAAACATTACATTGTAATGTTATTTGTTAATGTTGTCTGTTTATTTTTTCTTCATAAAATGCAAACGCTTTCCGTCCCCTTGACATCTCTCTATGCCCCCCTTGGGAGGCGCGCCCCCCTGCTTTGGAACTCCTGCTATATGCTAATATAGTTAACTTTGCCGTTTCAACATTGTCGAAGTAGTTGCAAGTAGCGTCTCGATTGTGTCGTTGACCTTTTCGGTACTTGAAATGCCCTACAGATTGAGCACGAAATCACTTTTTTTGCCTACGGCGAATAAAGTAAAAATAGACTTGATTCTCCGTGGCTTGCTGTTAAATTTCAATTTGGAGCAGAAACCAACAACCACGGGGCATAAAAAGCTGGGAAGAAGTAATTAAGCAGAAGAATCTCCTCTTCCATTTAGACTCCCATCATCAGAATCCTATATTGGCAGTAATAATCTCTCTTTTTCTCTCGAGTAATTAATCCCGGACTTCGTCACGAAATTGGCGAAACAGTCTGATGAAGAAAGGCGTGATTCGGGCGGCGAAACAAAACTGTGCTTATAATTATTATTGTATACATAACAGTTCGAAAAATATTTTTCCGGTCCATCGTGGGCTGATTTAAGATTTTTAGTATAGGGTACAATAAAAGTTTTGCCATATACCTTAACAAACGCACACAGAATGCTGCATGTTACTGTGTGTCCATGAGTGCATAGTAGTCGCTAGCAGCACGTTTGTTGATTTAGTTGTTCTCATTCTTGGTTGTCGAATACAAAATTTTACCACAAAAATTGGTGTACCCATTTTATGCGTCCATGTTTTGCACAATTTGCATCGATAAAACCAGACTGTACAATTATTTCGGCGAAATTTGTCGATATCGTTAGACTACTAGAGGAATCCTACAACACGCTAAAAATCTGCTATCTTTGATATTCGCTGGTTTACATATAATTTCATGTACCTTTCCTAGCATTAATACAGAACGGAGCATACAACAAGATGAAGAACTTTAGCAACAGCAAAAGGAGGGTGGTTAGAAACGAGCTAAGAGATAGTGAAGCACTTAAAGGATTTCCTTGTCGGTTATCCTTGCATACGTTGGTTCCTACAATGAACGGTAAAAGCGGAACTCGTTCGTGACTCTGACGAAAACTGGAAATTTCAAAATGACGTGAAAGATGGGCGGTGTATTTGTACCTGAGACATTTACCGGTGACTTGGTCGCCGTCGATCTGATTACGTACGAAGCAGTGATTGCTCGTTGTAAGCAGATGGCGCCGTTAGCGATGATGTCCGGCACGAGTATTATGAAAAACCTACAAAAAGTAAAAAAAAAACAGTAAAATGTCATCTTGCAGACTAGGTAGTTTTCAGGGTACAAATAGTTAATTCCACGTTTGCTCGCTATGACCGCCATGAGCGCCCATCTATGGAGGAATTACTCAAGTACACGTATTGTTGGTTGCATATGTTTTGTGAAGCCAAGTAGTCTGTAATGTGAATCAAAGAAGTTGGTTGAATAGCAAGATCGCATCTGGATGATTATGTGTATTGGTCTGCATGTGTTAGAAAATTATTACTGAATATGCCGCCAATGAAGTACAGGGTGTCCCAGAAGTCGACGTCAAGCCGAAACCGGGTGATATGCAAAGTCATAACGGCTATCAGAAAAATATTTAAAAAAATTTTATGTATGTGTTTTGTAAATTATAGGTCATTGAAAAAAATATAGAAATTTCACACTCTACGGCAGTCTGTCAACTCCTGTTACTACAAATATTAACTTTTTTTGGATTTTATTTTTACAATGTAATGATCAATAATGCATCTTCAAACTGGTGTCTCAACCTTGCTGCCAACTTTTCTCGTTCAGGAAAAATTGCCACTTATTTCACAACCAAGTATTCCAAAGTAAAACTTTGCTCAACTTTAACTGGCTGTACTGGAAAAAAATGTACTACGAGAGTTTGGCAAGTAACCTTAAAAGTTGGCGTATTTAATAAGGATTCCAAAATGGTATAACACTTAGAAGATTACTCGTTAACTTATGCACAATTTTTATTTGAAGAAAAACTGATGAAAATTTTCAAAATTTCCTAATTAAACAGCGATTATTAAAACGCACAAGGACCCTTAAGGATAACTGTTTGCACAACAGTGGGAGTCAAAATGCTGCTGATGATGATTTACCTTTACAGCAAATGCTCAAACTGTTTTCCTTCAGCCGCAATACACGCTCGACATCTTCTTAAAAAAGATCGGGTTATTAAACGAGCGAATCCACGGTTATTAACAAACTCAGCTGCTTCCAATAGTCTTTGCCGTAGCTCAGCTACATTTTGAATCGGCTTGAAATACACTTTTTCTTTTACAGTTCCCCGGTAAAAAAATCTGAAGGATTCAAATCAGGTGATCGGGCTGGCAACGGTATTGTACCAGACCGCCCTATCCATCTGCCTGGAAAGTTTTGATCGAGATACTCTCTCACTGAGAGTGCACAGTGCGCTGGGCAGCCATCATGCTGAAACCACATGTCCCTGTAAATACTCAGTGGCACGTCCACCAATAAATTTTGTACATGATTTTTCAAAAAATCCAAATAAACTTCAGCAGTCAAAGTCTCTGGGAACTCAAACGGACCGATTATTTTACCATTTAAAATTCCTGTCCAATGGTTTATCTTAAGTTATGCAGGTTCATGTACCCATCTTTCTTAAATGTGATCTCATCCGACCATAAAATTTTTTCAAAGAACTGTGGATCTTTCCTGTGTCTTTCTAACATTGTGCGACAAAAAGCAACTCGGGGCTCATAATCCCGGGGCAGGAGAGGTTGAACACGCTGTATGTGGTATGGATAAAGCACATCACTTACTTGCTATTGCACACTTTGATACCGATCAGTACTCCTTCGTTTACTGCGCATCTTTACATGGAATTTTAAATGGTAAAATAATCGGTCCGTTTGAGTTCCCAGAGATTTTGACTGCTGAGGTTTATTTA